TCCTTCATTCGAAGTAATTCATACTCCAAACGAAGAGTTTGAAGCTGCAGCTTCCTTGTTTTTGCATTTCCTTGACATTTCTTCTTCATGGATTCCCAAATATCTTTGGAGGTTTCCTTGCAAGGAATGGTCTCCAAAATAGCCCGTTCGATTAATTGAAAGAGGTAGTTTTTAGCTTTAAGATCCTTCAGTGTTAAAGCTTCCAACCTCGTCCTCTGGTCTGCCGGCATCTCAGCGGTGGGAGTTGCTGCTCCAGTCTCCACCACAGCCCAAAGCTCTTTGGACCGGAGAAAGTTTTCCATCACCATGCTCCAATGATCGTCCTCAGATGCCATGGATCAATTGATATTGCTGCTGCAGTGAATTTATGTGGCTCTGATACCAAATGTAGACTGGGTTTCTTTGGGAACTTTTATCAAACAGGTTGTGAGCAACCTTAATAAGAAGAAATATATGAAACTAATATAAATTGGAGAACTCAGGAAATCAACAGAGGAATCAGAGAAGAACTTAATGATATATTATTCCATAGGAAAGCCAATTTATAGGCCATACATGAAAGAAACTATATCTGCTAAAAAGAAGGAAAGCCATAGAAGTGTACAGCTACTTCCTAAAGAATAGGACAACAAACTTGATTAATACGGAGTACTAAAAATACTGAGTCAATACTAGACTTATTCAGCATTGGACTTATTCAACATTACTTATTCTTCAACATACATTTTTTAACTTTATTTTTATATTCATGACAATTTTTTTTTAATTTTACTTAATTCCGGCAGACGCCGACAAGGAAGTCCGAGATTCGCTCGTCACCGGCCAAAACCACGTGGAGAATATGTGCAGCAATGCGCTTGCGAAGAAAGAGGATGCCGGCGGGGACGAGAAGGCTGTTGCAGTCCCCGACCGTGGCGGCGGACGTCGTGGTGGCGGCGGACGGAAACGGCGACGGAGGCGGTGGCGAACACGCCTGAGAAGAGCAGTAAAAGGTACGTGACAAAGATAAAGGCAGGGGGTATATATATAGGGAAAACGTGGAGGTGCCGAAGAAGAAGACCAACATAATGTTCTTGGGAGACAGGAGAACCAACAACGAACGAACTTGACATGGCCGCGGCCGTGCTTATTGCGCCCTCCGTTTCTTCGCTTGAAAGTCTGCAAATGAAGAAACAATGAAGATTAAGGAGTGCGGGGATCCAAATCCAACCATTTTAGCCGAACTTGAAGTGATCCGTCGGCCGCCGGCGAGGATAGGGTCTGATTGAAGAGGAGGGATGGGGTTAAGCTAAATTTGTCTTAACCTAATCTCACTCCAGTGAGTAGAATTGCTTCCCTGAAAACTAACCGGAGTATATATTAAAGGGGTGAAAGAAAAAGAAAAATAAGGGGGTGGGAGAGGGGGGGAGAAAGAAGTAAAAAAAAAGAAATGGGGCCAAATTAAAAATTTTAAAATATATAAAATTCTAATTTAGCCCAGATGATTGGAAGTTAACCTGGAAACGGATAAATGGATTTTTAGTGAAAGGATTATGTAACTTGAGGTACTTTTGTGAAAGGTTTTAAAATTTAGGTACCAAATCGAAATTTCCGAAAAAGTTCAGGTACCATTGTTGAAATTTACCCATATTGCACAATTGGCAAAGGTAAAATATGTCAAGAGGTTAAGACCTGAGTTTGATTCTTAACTACACTGAGAGTCAACGAATTTACGATCAAAGTCTATTTTACCTTCTTTCAATGACGAATCGATCAAGTTTGAGAGGGTCTTTAAGAAGAGCAATGCTACGTTCACATACAGAATACTCACAAATTTCACAAACTTACTATTTATGATTTAAATTTTCATTTTAAATTTATTTTAGACTATTTAATTTTATTTATTGAAGTTCTCAAATAGTAAGTTTGTAAACATTTGTTTATGAACCAAGCATTTCCTCTTTAAGAATGGGGTTCATCCTTTTAAATGTTGGTAGGTAAGTGTAGTAAAAGTTGAAGAGACATTTGATGGATGCTATGAGAAGGGATAATCCCTCCGTCCCAAATTATTTGTTACATTTCTTTTACCGAGGCAAAATATCAAGTTTTTTCAATTCATTTTATTTACATATTGGTAAAGAAATAAAAAATGAAATTTACATATCAAAAAACTACATGAAAAGTTCTTCGAAATAAGAGGTGTCAATAATATTTTATTTTATCAAATAACAAATGAAAACGTAGAAATAAACAAAAGTTCCCGCGACTGTTGGAAAAGCAAATGTGGCAAATAATTTGGGACGGAGGGAGTATTTCCTACGGAGTAAAAGAAATCAAAATTCTAGGTGGAGTGTTCAATATCTAATACTCCCTCCATCCCCAATTTGATTACAAATTGCGAGTTACGGAGTAAAATTTTCTACTTTTTGAAATCATTTTATTTATAAATTGGTATATTAATAAGATATAAAAATTACATATTGAAAAACTACGTCAAAAGTTCTACAAAACAAGAGGTGACAAGAATATTTTATTTTATCAAATACTTAATGAAATCGCGTAAACAAACAAAACTTATCGAGAGGAGAGAAAAAAAATTGTAATCCATTTAGGGACGGAGGGAGTATACTTTTATCTAATTTGGGGTTAAAGTTTATCAATTTTGACCGGAAAAAGTCAAAAGTGAACAAATACTCTGGTATTGACTACTGAGGGAATATTTTGGAATGATCAAAGCAAAAATTACTAATTTACAGGAACTAACCAAATATTTAACTAAAAAATTAAAGACAAAACTAGGATATTAATCCCTCTATCCTAAAATGTTCTTCCCAGTTACCATTCATACGATCAAATTTTAATAAATTTCTTTATCTATTTTCGTTAGTTATTTGATTAAATAATACTCCCTCCATCCCAGTGTATTTGTCCAGTTTGACTATTTTGAGTCAAACTGGACACACTTTTAGCTTTAATTAAATAAAAATTGTAATGTATTTTAACATAAAAATGACTTTATTGGATTTATCGCATTGAGAACTTTCAAAAATGTATGCAATATAAATAGAGAGTAATTGAAGTTTAAAGTTTGTCTAGTTTGACTCAAAAAGGTCAAATCAGACAAATACACTGCGACGGAGGTAGTATAGTCTTGTCACCTTTTGTTTTGTAAAACGTTTGATGTAGTTTTTAAATATATAAATTTTATTTTTTAATTTTACACCTTCAATCAAATAAATTGAATCAGAAATAAAGTCGGTCAAACCTCGTAAATAGAAATAAGAAAAAATTTTAGAACGGAGGGAGCACTTTGTATTTTACATTCGAGGATAAATCTACTTGTACCTTAATAATTTTCTTACACGTACATTTTGTATCAAAGTAAATACGAGATTGATGGCTTACACCGATACAAAATATCAGTATAGAAATTTACAATAATACAAATATTTGTTTCAATATAAGTCATTAAAATATAAATCGAAATCTTTGAAATATACTTTAGGGTAAAATTTTTGGGTAGTTGTACAAAGGGATAAAGACAAAAGTATGACTAAAACATTAAAAATATACTAATATAGGACTTCCATGTTTTTATTTTCGGAATAAGCCTTACATTACCAAACATGGTCATGTACATTACCAAAAAGTATAGTAATGTTCACATGTACAGTGTCGCATTATCACAGTGCAAAGTCCTATTTCAGAGAAAAAACATGAAAGTCTTATTTTGATACATTTCTCTATGTTTTAGTCTTAATTTATATAGTACAAACCCAAAGATTAGAAGTAAAATCCACAATCAGTAGTCTGTACTTCACGATTTTCGTATAAGCTGTAAAACAGTGTCTTCTCAAACAGATCTCAAGTTAGGGCCCCACTCTCCAATCTTAGAATCCCACCATTTGAATGTGATGGCAGATCTGCAATTAAAGTTAAGAACCAATTCGAGGGCAAACCATCAAGATCCAACCAACCAACCCATGCTAAAAGCTTCTTCTCTTCCTCTTGGTTCTGATATGAATTTATTCAGTCTAAAACTTTTCTTGTTCTCAAAAGATTATCCTCTTTGAAATTATGTATAAAATATAAATTTTTTAAATTTTCTTTTTATTTCCACATTGGTATAAAACTTTCCATAATTTTAAATAATCGCACATTTTCATGTTTTTTTAAAAATAATTCAATTTTTCACTGTCACAAAAAATAACCTCAGTTTTTCGCATGCTTGCGAGTTTTGGGTCGTCGTTAATAAGCTAACGGTCACTTAATGGATTTTTTGAAAAATGTTAGTTTTTTACAAAATTAATGGAATGTGAGATTATTTTAGACAAATTTACTTTATTTTTTTTTTAATTTTAAATTTATATTTTTAAAAACATAACAGTACACTCTTGTTAGAAATTTCTCTCAAAACTTTTTAAAAAATATAATTGATTTACAAATTTTGTATTCTGTTTTGGGGAAATTATAATATTAGATTATCGAAAAATAATTCAGAGTATCGTTCGAGAAAGAAATTACAATACAAAAAAGTTGTAGTGAATTATAAAAATAATTAGTACCATTTTGGAGAAAAAAACTATTATGTCACTTTCACACATTTGAATTATTATTTTAGGGAAAAATTTGCAGTGACTTATCAAAAAAATTCACAAGTTTTGTAGTGCCATTTTAGAAAAACTATTACACGTAATGGATGATAATCGATAAATATTTCAGAGTATTGTTCCTGAAAAAAATTGTAATAAAATAAAAAATATAGTGAGTTATACAAATAAAAGTTCAATTTTAGAAAAAAGTACTTCGTATTATGTTGTTTTCATAACTGTTGTAATATTATTGTACAAAAACACATTTTTGTAGAATTATCGAAATATATTCACAAGTTTTGTAGTGTCATTTTTTAAAAAGTAATAATAGTATAGTATCAAAAAACAATTTGAAGTGTCACTCAAGAAAACAATTGGAACTTACAAAAATTGTAGTGTGTTATAGATTATAATAAATTAGTTCTATTATGTAGAATAATTTATTGTACAATTTCACAATTTTTGAAATATTATTTTGGAAAAAATAATTACTACCAGATTGTCAATTATTAAAAAAATAACTAGTGTCACTCTAAAAAATATTTAAATTTTATATTATTATAAAAATATTTGAAAAACATTTAAATTTAAAGTTAGAAATTAAAAAAATGAAAAAAAGAGAATTTACCCAAAATAATGCTACTTTCCATTTATTTGTGAAAAACAAGAAGTCTCAAAAAAAAAATTGTTAAACCATTAGCATCCCAACGACTATCCAAAATTCGCACACGTGAGGAAATGTGAGATTATTTTTCATAACAATAAAAAGTCAAATTATTTTTGAAAGAGCGCGAAAAGGCGAGATTATTTGAGATAATTTTTTCTAAAATTAAAAGACACTACTTCCATCTTTAATTCTTCCTAGTTTGAATTTAATTGTCAACTTTTTTAAACTTTGATTACACGTTTTTTTAAAAAAATACATCTGAGTGTGATATAAATTTAATATCAATAAGTTCATTTTGAAACATAATTTTAAAAGATTATATTTTATAGTATAGATTTATTTATAAATAAAGGTATTGATGATCAAAGTGTTGTATTGAAGTCTGTTAAAAACTAAATGATATAAGTTTCAAAGAGGACGGATGGAGTAGAACTTAGATATCTAAAAACTATATGAAAAGTTTTACAAAACAAGTGATAACATAGTTATTTTGTTTTAGGAATAAGCTATTTGTACACCAAAATTTTACCCTATTTGGTACCTCAAAGGCATGTACCGACATTTTGTGCTAGTGTAATGTTAGTGTGATGAACAATGACAAATAATGTCGGTGCAATTTTTTTAATCAAACCAACATTTTTTGCTTGTGTGAATCGTTAAAATGTTGGTGCATTTCTTTGGAGTACAACTTAGGTGTACCCCTAGCATGATTGTTTATTTCATCAAATGATTTATGAAATCATATGCATAAACAAAAGTTAGCGACAATATATATGAAATTGTAAAAAAGTCTATTATTTCGGGACAAATATAGTATGATCTGATTTAATCTGATCTGAATCTTTCTGATCTAATTTGATATAGGGAAAGTTGTTCTCTGTATATATTTCTGATTTGATCACATTTGAATTTTTTTTATTTGAATTTTTCTAGTCTGACTCATTTAAATATTTTAATTTGAATGTTTCATATTTAGTTTGATTTGATTTAATTCTAATAAAAATAAGTAATACGAATTATTTCATAAGTAACAAGAATAAATTGAAAATAACAAGTTCACTATGATTAGTTGTCTCAAAAGACACATTACATTTTATTTTTCTGTTTACAAATGAAACATGTCGCTCAAAATCTGTCCTAAAATATACTCCGTATTTTATATTTTTTTTATTTTATATGATTAGTTATCTCAAAATCTTTCTCTCATATAATTAAATCTTAATCATTAGTTTTTTTATTTTTCAATATTTGTTTTAGTATGAAATAAAATTCGAGACAATGTAAAATTCAAAATTCCAACTGAATCCTTATCAAGAGCACAACTATCTCTCCGATAATGCTAAATAAAATAAAACTTGAGACAAAAAGAGTAAAATTCAAAACCTCAACTAAAATCCTTATCACGAGCATAATTATCTACTACCTCACAATACTCCGTATTATTAATAATAAATCAATAGTAATATTCCTTCCAGAAAAGAGGAATAATTAAAGAAACCATTTTTTAATTTGGTGTTTTCTTTTTCCAACGTTCTATCTGGTGCTTTGTAGTGTACAGTAGAGCAGTAGTGCTGCTCTGCTTCTTTGGGTTCCATTGTTCTCTCCACCCCCAAAACCCCACCTCTCTCTCTCTCTCTCATTGTTTTTTTATTAGCATATTGTTAAAAATATTCCGTCCTTTTCTTTTTGTTTGTCCCATTATCATCTCTGTATTTGATTCTTTGTGTGAAGAAGACAGTGTTTGTGGTGATCCATTTGGTCACCTCAACAATGTCAATGGCAGATATTGCTCACCCTCCCATGGAGCAACTCCAAGACCTTGAGTACTGCATAGACTCTAATCCTCCATGGCGTACTCTCTCTCTCTCTCTCTCTCTCTCTCTCTCTGTATCTATATATTTGTGCATACATACACATATATACCATTTCTGTCACTGGGTGCCATTTGTTGTAGCATCACTTGATGTGTCAGTACAAGCTCTCTTCTAATTGAACTAATTTTTTTAATGTTTTCTTTAAAGAAAGAATAAAAAGTTGAGATTTTTCCCCATTTTGATGTGCTGTCTTTTTGATTGATACATGGCATTATGTCCTCTGTGTTTTCTTCTTGGGTTTTTACACAATGGGTATATGATTACACTTCAAAGACTCAATCTTTGGAAGAGCAATTTGTAGAATGAGATTCTATATATCTTTTTTTTCCTTATATTTTTACAATCAATTTTAGAACAGCTCTCTGCTAATTGAAGTAATTTCTTTATGGCATTCTTTAAAGAAAGAATATAAAGTTGAGATTTTTACCCATTTGGATGTGCTTTCTTCTTCATTGAAACATGACATTATGTCCTCTGTGTTTCCTTTTTGGGTTTTAGCACAATGGGTATATGATTAAGCTTCAAAGAGTCAATCTTTGGAATAGCAATTTGTACAATGAGTTTCTATACATCTTTTTTTCCTTATATCGTACCTTGTATTTTTATAGTCAATTATAGAACTCTTGAGTGGTTTGGAATGGAAGTGCAGAAGGCCATTTTTGGTCTCTGGGTAATACTGATGAATGTTTCAGTAGTATAAAGATTGGACAAAGTTTGAACCTTTGACTAGTTTCTCTCGGCAGTAATGGTTTAATGCCTTGTGATCAAAGCGTAGAATTGTGAGATTTCATCCCAAAAATCAATTGGCAATGGAAAAAGTGACTCATATTCCTATATATTAGTCAGTGTTCTAGAATGGGTAGTATGGTCTCTAGGCGAGGAAGATTAATAGGGGCCGAGTCAGACCACTCACACAAAATGTGTTTTCTACTTGCCTGGTTACTTGCATTTCTTATTCAACTGATTATTTTTAAGAAGTTTTTTTTGCTCAACATGCATGTATTGATGTTTTTTATGGTTTTTTGCCTGCAGCTGAAACCATAATGTTAGCATTTCAAAACTACATTTTAGTACTAGGGACAAGTGTGGTGATTCCTACAACGCTTGTACCGCTAATGGGTGGATCCGATGTAAGTTACTTAGATAATCTCCTGATGCAATTTAATAATATAAAGACTTCGTATTTAAAACGTTTTTGGTTACCTTTTTAGTCTAATGAGATCTTAATGGGTTGTTGGCTTGTTGCTGATGATAACCAACTCATTTATTCTGAATTCTTTTCTATTTAGGGAGACAAGGCACGAGTGATACAAACGTTGCTTTTTGTGGCGGGAATAAACACTCTTCTCCAAACACTCTTTGGGACCCGATTGCCGGCCATTGTAGGAGGGTCCTTTGCATATGTCATCCCTATAATCTACATTATAAGCGACTCGTCTCTTCAACGGATAAGTGAGCCACAAATTGTAAGTTCAAGCTAAATACGCATATGCACCACCTTGGATGATGATGATAGCATTTGGTTGCGCTTATGAAAAAAGGCATTTAATATCTTGATCTTTTAAAATGGGTAAGTGGATTTGCAGAGATTCATACAAACCATGAGGGCAATCCAAGGAGCATTGATTATAGCTTCAATAATTCAAATCGTTCTTGGCTACACCCAAGTTTGGGGTCTCCTTTCGCGGTACATAACTATGGCCATTATGAATTTTCCATGTATATACTTTGAGACAATCAACACTAAGTTTTCCATTTCTTTTCAGCTTTTTCAGCCCTCTTGGTGTTGCTCCTGTTGTCGGATTAGTTGGTCTCGGCCTATTTCAAAGAGGATTTCCAGCTGTATGTATTGGTGTGAAGTTAGGTTCAGCCTTATTCCCTAACGGACGTTCATAATATGCCATTTTGAACCCTTCAAATTTATTGCAGTTAGGGAATTGTGTCGAGATAGGGCTTCCAACACTATTGTTGGTAATTGGTTTGTCACAGGTAAGTGGTTCTAACTAAAGACAATTTCAACTTTTCCAAATGGAGGACATAGAAAATGGACATTCACAAAAGTAATGATGCATACTACGTATTTCTCAAAATTTTGCAGTATTTGAAGCATGTAAGACCAGTGAGGGAGTTCCCAATATTCGAACGTTTTCCTATATTGATATGTGTCGCAATCGTTTGGCTATATTCCATAGTTCTAACCGCTGGTGGAGCCTACAGAGGCAAGCCTCTTCACACTCAACTCAGTTGCCGTACTGATAGAGCAAATATCATATCCACTGCTCCATGGTTTGTCTGAAGTGTGATTCATTCGATCATTTTTTTGGTGCGCACCCATTGGTTTGTTTTATTACACTAAACCGGTTACGGTTTCAGGTTCAAGTTCCCGTATCCATTGCAGTGGGGTGCACCTACGTTCGCTGCAGGCCATTCGTTTGCAATGATGTCTGCTGTTCTAGTGTCAATGGTTGAGGTAAATTCTTGGATGAGAAGCATATTTATACTTGTGGGTTTTAATACTTCCATAAGATGATATCAAAGCCTTGTTGACCTAGAGATTGGGAGTTATAAAAAATTAATATTCGCATGAACTACATTTTTAACTGAAAATTGTTATATGCAGTCAACTGGTGCATACAAGGCTGCGTCTCGTCTGGCGATTGCAACTCCACCTCCCGCCTACGTGCTGAGTCGGGGGATTGGTTGGCAGGTGATCTCATCTTAATATGTGCCTGGTGTAACTATTCTCTTATTGTGTTATTTACCTTTTCAAATTGGTGTAAATAACTAAATTAAAAAATTTGGAGAACCCTATTTGTGACACCATTTTTGATAAGAAAGTCATACCACAATAACTGTATGTGCAGAAGTGTATGCATTTGCCTTGAGTGTCACAAGTGGGGTCCCCCTAGCACTGCCGATAACTAAATGCGTGTCTTGTTAAGTCATTGACAAGTACAAAAACATCGGTCTTCTTTTAACACCCAACCGTTAGTTCGGTGCTCCATTCGAGCCCAAGTAGTAATACATCATTGCTTCATAATCACTTAAAAAAGATACTAAGGTTTTTGAGTTTAAACTGCAATGGCAGGGAATAGGTGTTTTGCTTGATGGGCTTTTTGGAACAGGGACGGGACCCACTGTATCTGTGTAAGATTTGCCAGAGTTATCCGATCATTTGAATGCACTTTTGGTATCCATCAGTTTGGGACCAAGCTTTTGTAGCTCAACTTCCCAATGGTTTGTATTGCAGGGAAAATGTGGGACTCTTGGGGCTCACTCGGGTTGGAAGCCGAAGAGTTGTTCAGGTTTCTGCAGGCTTCATGATATTCTTCTCCATGTTAGGTTTGTAAACATAGTTTCTTATTGTTGGTTGATGGTTTTTCCCATACAAAAAAAAGAGACAAGAATGAATGTTCATTTCAAGTACTATTGCAGGAAAATTTGGAGCTGTTTTTGCATCTATACCATTTATCATCTATGCAGCATTCTACTGTGTTCTGTTTGGCCTTGTTGGTATGCTATCCTCCAACACTTACTCTATAGGGAAATTATGAAACGGGTGTCTGTGTGTGTCTATGAGAAGGTGGATTATTAAAGGGTTCATTTATTCATATTCTTGCGAATGTGGTAACAACTTGTTTAGGTTCGGTGGGGCTTTCGTTCCTTCAGTTCACAAACATGAACTGCATGCGCAATCTGTTCATCACGGGCCTTTCCCTATTCCTTGGGATGTCCATTCCCCAATTCTTTGATGAGTATTGGTCGGGTGCTCGCCACGGTCTTGTTCATACCAATGCTGGATGGGTAAGTTCTACTCAATTGAATTGATGTCATAGTATTGACATTGGGTTCTAATGTCAAAAGAACCCGCCCATTAAAAAAACACTCTAACACCAAATCCTAATGTCATACTTGGTCCGTCCCTGAGTGTTTGTCCACTTTTGACTTTTGGAACTGTTCATCTAAGCACTTTGACTTATCAATTTCTCTCAATGTGTAAGCCTAAAAATAGTCATGTGTGATCTTGTTTGATTCGTCTTAACATATAGATTATTAATATATAATTTTTATAATTTTTTAATATACAAATTACAAGATAAAATGGATTAAAGAAGTGCATTGGATGGTGTGCAAAAATGAAAGTGGACAAACACTCAGGGACGGAGTAATATGACACCCAGTCCACTTGAGGGTTCTACCCCGAAGTGGTTCCTACCCCTAACCCCCCAGGCCTGGGTGCTAGCCACTAGGTCTGGGTGTCATGAAAAAATGAGCATGGAAAGAAAAATTGTTTATCTAGGGAGTTTGTTTATGTGGTGGCAGTTCAATGCATTTGTGAACACGATATTCTCGTCACCGCCCATGGTGGGGTTGATTGTGGCCGTGTTTCTGGACAACACATTGGACGTGGAGAAGTCGAAGAAAGACAGAGGCATGCCGTGGTGGGTGAAGTTCAGAACTTTCAAAGGCGACAACCGGAACGAGGAGTTCTACACTCTGCCATTTAACCTCAACAGATTCTTTCCACCAACATAGCCAGCCAAGATACATTCATTGACAGCCAATGGCTTTTCTTTAGAAAAGAGGGAAAAAAAGTGTAACTATTTTTGGCAATTGGAATCAAAAGGACCATGTTGGAAGCACTCTTCACCTCTCACCGCGTTTTCTCAAAGACATCACAGACACTTGTAGTAACTTATCAATGCTTGTGGATATCTGTGAGAAGGTTGGGGTGAAAAATGGAGTTAAGAGTTGGAGTGACTTGGGCATGGTGTTTCATTGAGCTTAGTTTTGATTGTTTTTTTTTTGGGTGGGGAAATCTTTAAGAGTATAGAGTAGTTGAGATAATTGGTTGATCTGCTTTGTAGAATTTCAACTTCAATGTTCTATATATATAGATTAGTCCATAAATAAGGTGGATGATGGATGTAGAGCTCTTGATCAATTGTAATGGTATGGACAAGGTGGGCTGCGGGTCTATTGTGTAACTTGGATATCTTGGAGGTAAAAAATTTTATTTTATGAATTGTGTCTTTAAATGCAATTAAAAATCAGGCTTTCGTACACCAAGTGAGACTTTACCTTATAAAAAATTACCCATTAAAATTTCATTTTAGGAATTGTCTTTAAATTCCACTCCCAAATTTAGTTGTTTGACTCCAAAATTAACTAAATTTGGAGGAGAGTTGGTTCAGATGGGAGAGATTATCTGATTACTTAATTATTTTATGGGTAGTTTTCTAAAAAGGTATCGGGTACTTGTTGCTACTTGTTTTAATTTTTTTCTATTTCGGTCTCTCAATTATTTTTGTTTGTTTACTCGTTTTGGTTGACCATTTGATAAAACAAAATATTTTTGTCGCATCTTCTTTTGTAGAACTTTTGATGCATTTTTAAACGATGTAATTTTTATTTTTTTTTCTACCAATTTGTAAACAGAATGATTATAAAAAAGATTATATTTTACACATCGTTCGAAATGTGTAAATAATTTGGGACAAAAGAGTAATTTTTAATCATGTTTTTCATTTCTATCTTGCTTGAGAACGTTTGACACTTCGAAGTTCCAATACAAACGATAGTTTTTCCCTTAAAAAAATTCTTTTATTAATCCAATATTTCAATCCTAGGAATAGTAATGTATGAAAAATTAAAATGGCAACTTTTTCCCGGGAAAAAGATTCCGTGCAACCATAGATTGCAAAGACTTGGACTTATTTCCAATGATTTTTGACCAAATTTCCCTTCTTTTAATTTTAAATTATTGTATTGTATACATAGTAATACCGAGTAATTTGTTTACGGTTATTATTTTGCAATAATTGATTCCACGTAAGGAATAATAGTGTAATTGAAATTTCAAATCACAAGTTTGCTTCTTGGAATTGAGCGTAACTTTTTTAAAGCTAAAATTGACTTTTGTTCTCTTATAAAATGTAAACACTTTTCACATACTCCGTATTTTTTACTCCCTCTGTCACTAAATGGATTACAAATTTTTTTCTCTTCTTTCGGTAACTTTTGTTTGTTTACGCAATTTCATTAAGTATTTGATAAAATAAAATATTCTTGTCACCTCTTGTTTTGTAGAATTATTCACGTAGTTTTTTAATATGTAATTTTTATATTTTATTGATATACCAATTTGTAAATAAAATGATTTCAAAAAATATGAAATTTTACTCCGTAACCCGCAATTTGTAATCAAATTGGGGACGGAGGGAGTATGTGCTTGTAGTTGAACTTTCTTAATTTTATTACAAGACTCATTACATAAAATTATTTTGTGTCTAAAGATCCATAAATTAAGTATGGACCTAAAATACTTTCTTATTATATTACCTAAAAGTAATTTTATATTACTCTCTTATTACATTTTATGTTAGCGTAATTGTTAAAAACTTGTACAAGACTCATTACGTTTCTTATTATATTACTCCGTACTTTCTTGTTGTATTGCTAAAATAATTTCTTTCCTACTTAGATTTAAGTTGTCTCTTCTAATTTCCAATATATATGATGTATTCTTCAATATTCAATAAGACCAATTATTATTAAATTGAATCAGTTCTAAACTTTGTCAAGGATAGAACGTGGAAGAATAACTTTCCTAGGTAGGAAAGAGATCTTCAAGGTTGTCTTCAAGCATTCCTTCTTATGTTATGTCAGTCTTTTTATTGCACAAGACTCTCTATACGTTTTTAAAGGTCATCTTCAAGCTCTTTTTATTGCTCAAGACTCTCTATAGGATTTTAGAAAGAATGATGGCTAGCTAGATTAATTTTGGTGGATTTTAAACAGGGAGTTAACACGAAGCTTCACCGGATGAGCACGGAAATACTAAGTTTCCACGTATGGGGGGTGAATTTTAAGAAGGTCAGGGAGTTCAACTTGAAACGGCGATGCTAGGTATGACGTGGAAGTTCAAGACCCAGCATGATCTTTTAGTTTTCAGGGTGTTAAAGGCGATGTACTTTTCAGGTAGCACATTTCATGATGCACAGGTTATTTCAAACCCTAGTTTCATTTTGCAAAGTATCTTTGAGACTAAAGATTTAATTTGTAGGGATACGCGGTGGAGAGTTAGTTCATTTACTGATATTCACATTTAGAAATTAAAGTATCTGTAGCCTGATAAGAAGAACACGTTTATTACAATGGATAATCTAGACAATGTCATTTTTACACACGTCAATGATCAGATCTCTTTTGACGATGAACATCATCTTTAACGTCGGAGACTAAAATTAAATTCGGACCATCCTAGTGTCAGTTATGGTGGCTATAAACGTGTTGAATTGGGCACGTGATAAATCCGATATTTATATACAATGAAGATTGTTTATATTATTTTTATCTAGGATAATACTGTCACACATTCCGCAGTCGATATGGGAAACATCGGAAAAATTGGGATACACTCTTTGGTGTAGAAGTATGAACTTAATTTTCTCCTTCTCAAGTGATTGTTCGACATCAAGGCCGGCCCCGAAAAATGAAAAAATAAAATTGGTCCGGTCCAAAATTTACATTTTGTGCCCTACTTTATATTTTTAGAATACTTTTGCTTTAAAATTATTAACAAATTTAAAATATAGTACCCTAAATTTTAAAAAGCCATGTGCGATTGACCACTTTGCACACCCTCCGAACCACCCATGTTCTACATGTTAAGAGAGACCTTCGAGAAGTGGACAAATGTTTATGTTATGTGCACATTAATACTCTGTATTAGGTACATTATTGTGCAGAAGTATTGATTATGGAGTATTATTGTTGTGTCGTGGCTCGTATTATTCAATGTGCCTCATCATTTCCACAGTATCCGCCATAGACGGGAAAAGTGAGAAGGACACGCGCGCGGCGACTCGCTTGAAGCGACATACATACGCTACAAGACATCGGCCAAATAGCTCCGGTGCCTCCTGTGGTTTGGAAAATTGGCACCAATACCCCCTCTATTTTTAAAACTTATTCCTAAAGTCTCCGTGGTTTCAAAATGCTGCACCCGTTCCCCCTCTGATCATTTTCCGGACATTTTCCGGCGAAGAGGGGACATTTGCGCATAATTTTTAAACCATAGGGGGTATTCGTGCTCATTTTTTATTTTTCGTTTATTATTTGTATTTTTCTTTTTTTAAATATTTTCTATCTCTTTTTGCTTTTCCTAGTTTTTTTCTAATTTATTTTCAATTTTTTTAATTACAAAATTTTAAAATTTTAAAAAACAAAAACTTTATTTTTATTTTTATTTTTTTTATTGTATGTAACGTAGATAAACTTTAATTTGTAAAAGTGAAAAACAATCCATGAATAAACCTTTCAAGTTTTTCTTTTTGGATCTTATTTTTTTATTTTTATACCTTTTTATTTTACTTAAAAAAGTACACAAAAAAAGTCGGACACAAAAAATGGACAAGCCTAAAAAAGTCCTTAGAATTGAGATGTTCGAAAAGGATATTCATTTTTATTTTTCTATTATTTTGTTTCTTATTTTATTCGTCATTTTTTTGAAATTCTCCAAAAAAAAGTTTACTTTTTTCAGAAAAAACAAAAATTGTTGATTTGAGAAGTACATACACGTTATATGTTAATTTTTTTCAAACAAAAATAACTTTAAATTTATGAGCATTTAAAAATAATTTTAAAAAACCTTTATTAATAAAAGTAACAAATAAAGGAAAAAATGAAAAAAAACAAAAAAATAAATGAGAAATAAATATCAGCACCGATACCCCCTGTGGTTTAGTAAATATGCAGCAATGCCCCCCTTCTTCGCCGGAAAAATGGCCGGAAAATGATCAGAGGGGGCACGGGTGCAGCATTTTGAAACCACAAGGACTTTAGAAATAAGTTTTGAAAACAGAGGAGGTTTTGGTGTATATTTTGCAAACTACGGGGTACTGACGCTATTTGGCCACAAGACATCATCGCCGTATTTTTATACGCATTTACAGCTACGTATTGTCTTAATTTATACGCCACTTTATACACGTACACGTCTCTCTGTTCCTCCTCCTCCGAAGAAGACGACGCGGGAAGAGATCCCGGATCGGTCCGCGAATTTACAATCATGGCCTCCTAGACCCGCATTAACTACGAAGATAACCCCCAATTGAATTCGCACGCTTCCCGATTTCTCTTCTCTTCTCCTCCTTCGTCATTCATTCAAGCAGAAGCCCTTTAACGCCCCTCCTGACAATAATCTCTCCTTCCCTTTTCTGAATTTACCCCTCTTTTTCTCTGTATATAATACCCCGTATATTGCTCTCCTCTTTTCCTTCTCCTCCTGAATTATCAAAGGTATTTGCTTAATCTCAGTTTTCCCTTTTCGGGTAGAAAACGCTCGAGTTAATCCAACAGTAGAATTTTTCTTCTTCTTTTTTTATGTTTTTTGTTTTTGAATTTTGTTGGGTTATGTGAATTCTTTTAAAAAACTGTAAAAAGATTTGATTTTTGTTGTTAATTTGATCGTGAAGTCGTGAAGGAGCAGTATTTGGGGTCGGTGATGAAAGATTGAGAGCTAAAGATCGGTAACTGAAGCGTCATTGTGAAGTTGATGGGGAGCAGATGTGTCTTTCCGTTGACGAGTTTGCAAATTGGGTATGAATTTCAGCTTCTTTTCTCTCCAACTCTTATTGTGTTGATCTTACTACTCTTTGAGCCCTTTGAGGAGTTCTTTTTCCTGTTCAAGACTTGTTATTAGGTCCTAAAGCTAATGTGGATATGAAATGTGGATAAATGTTAGAAACCATTATGTGGTTGTTATTAGGTTTATCATAAACCGCTTGCTGATCAGATGGCTGTGGGATCCCAGACTGAATGAACAATTGAAGGGCAGAGAAATTTTCTTGAATTTTATGTTTTGGATTGGTTAAAAATGTGGTGTTGAGGTTTTGGTTTAGATTTTGAATGCTAAACAAAGACATTTGGTGGATATTGTTCATTTGAGTGTCTTATACTTCTTTAGATTTGGATCTAGATGGTGTGTGTATGTTGTGTTGCATGTGACTTGGGCTCTTGGCTTGATCCTGGGGTTTAATCTCATTCCATTTTCTGTCCTGATTAAGCTTCTGCTTGTGTTTTTGCAGAGATTTGCAATCTTATCTATCACATCTTAACCTTTTCCTAGCACATGAGAGTAATAGATTATACATATTGGTGGATAATCGTCCCTGGCTGAAAGATCTCATCTCCCGTCCTGCACACCTATGGCAGTTGATGGTCACTAAGGTAGCTTACTATGGGTTATATCTAATGTATATCAGCAAAACATTTGAAATTGTGGCAGTATGATCAAAAGTGTTGTTTTTTTACTGTGATGCTCTTGTAAAATGAAGTCCAGGATGTCCCCTTTTGCGAATACAAGAGGGAAGAAGGGGAAACATGGCACTCAAACTATGCAGGAATTGCAAGCTAATCCGGAAACGAAGACATGCAAATCTGAAAAGATTAAAAGATGGTTTTCTTTGGTTGATGCTGCAACCTTATCCAAGAAAAGGGCACTTTTACCTGTGGAGAAATTGAGGAATTCTTTAATACTGAATAGCAAACTACACAGGACGTTATATGGATTCATTGTGTTTGAAGTCTCATGGAATGATGTCAGGGGTCTAAACTATTTGAATGAACTCCAGGTATCCATTCCATTCCTTCATAGTTCATACCCATCATCGGTTGATATCAAATGATACATAAAGCTATCAATACACATTGATTGCAGACAGATACATGTCTTGCTATTGAGGCCAAATTCATGAGAAGATGGGAATTTGATAGTGCGTCACAGGCTTCTAGGTGCATATCTTCATGGTTCCCGGGGACTCACACTGAGCAAAGTATTTTGAGAGAATACTTGGAGTCTACAACTGGTATGCTTTTGGGTTATTCAAGTTAACTGCGTTTTTTAAATGTAACCTATCCTATGCAAGTTTAGCTTTTCACACATTTGTCTTAACATGTCAAGCGTGTGAATATATAATTATATTCTCTTTAATGCTTCACATGCCTGTAAGTGTATGAACTGATTCTTGTTCTTGCATCTGCAAAGAAGACAGCTCTATGAAGAATACCATATGGTGTTATTGTTGTTGGGATTAAATCAGTTTCTTTATTTAATACTCAATACAATGTTCCCTCAGAAATCGTATCTAATTTCTAAAATATCAAACACGGCAAAGCCTTATCAATCTTTTATCTGTTATTGAGATTTGTACAGGTGATTCATTTTATGATGCTGAAGAAAACTTTTTAAGCACTAGTGAGGTAGATGGAAATGTCGATGATACGTTCTCCAGAGATGAGGCTCCTTGCTGCTCCTCAGAAACAATAGACAATAACCCATTCTGTACGCCGCCTCCAGCTGGACCTTATAAGAGAAGAAGTTTTTTGAAGTCCTGCGCTAGATCTGATCTCTTCTCAGAAGAATCCTTTTGTGAAAGCATTGGATCTCCACACGGTTCCCATAATAATGATTCAAGTGAAAGTGAGGATGTTGTCGAAGCTACTCAGTACAAGGATGTTTTGATTTTGTTTCGTTTCAACGATTGTCACCTCCCTTTTAAATTGAAGGACATTATAATGTCCGATTTGCGGCTTCTTACCCTACTGGAGTCAGGTCTGCCATCTTGGGCTATCTTCCTCCAGTCATACCCTGGGTTTTGCCGCCTCTATCGCCCATGGATGTGTCCTCTGGCAAGATTCTTATATGTGATAATATCAGTAATTACCGTTCTCATAGGATTTTACGATCTTTACAAAAACGTGCCTCTACTCAAGGCAACAGCATCACACTTATTTGGACCCCTTTTTGATTGGATAGAAACATGGGAAATGATTTCAAGAATTAAATGCTTGGGGACGATGTTGTTCCTTCACAATTTTCAGAAGGCTGTCAGATGGTTTATCATGATGGCGCGTACTGTTCAATCTTTTTTTTCAATCCTTGCAAGGCCACTCTTGGAACCTCTACTTGTGGGTTTGGACTTTATTCTCCCTTTCTGGAACATGTGCACAGAAGTTGTTGGGGGTTGTTTGTCTATAATATGGATGACATTGGAGACTTCTTGCAGTCTGGTGGCTGAGTTTCTTCACATCGTGTTTTTGCCGTTTTGGTTTCTCCTTTCTCTTTTCTGGAACATTGGTAAGTACGCTCAAACATTCCCCGTGTTCCTACTCATATGTGTGTTGATCAATTTTCCTTGCTCCTTTTCAACTGTTCATTGTTTTCTAAATATGAAATATATGCACATGAAATATCTCTTGGAAACTTCTCTCTTTTCAATGATTTCAAGAATTCTCCTCAGACCGTATGTAATTGTCTTTCTTATCAAATTGCATTCTCTGGTTGCAGCCACATTTTTGTTAAACGACGTGTTTTGGTTTATATGGGAAATACTCTATTTCCCCATTCGTTTGGTCCTTGGATTGTACAGTCTTGTTGCCGGCATCTGCTTTTTCACATATAGTGTGGTTCAAGACGCGTGGGTGTTTTTGAGTAGCCTTCTCCAGTTCACTTCTGAGGTGGAGTCCACAGTGACTTCATATGAACCTTCCATGTGGCGTTCTCTTTGGAATGACCTTTTCTCTCAGGTCTTTATGCCTTTCTAATGACTCACTTTCTTTTTTCAAGCTTTCCATTAGATGTTCTTTGCACTCATCTATGCGTCATCTCATCTTTTCAAACCCTTATTTCCTTGGCAGATTTTTCGCGCTGTTCGGAGCATTCTTAATGGTTTTGTTGCGTTCTTCACAACCTGCAATAGGCATCGGCTAAGGTATGTATGTTCTATGTGATTTTCTACTGAAATTTGAAGGAAAAAAATTATTTCTTTCAGTCTTGGTCTATTAAATCATTGTTAAATGGAAACAACATACTTTAACTTCTTTTGTTATACCTGCTTAGAGATTTTACATCTTTGCAGCATTTATAATCATACACAAGGGTTTATCCAAAAACTATCTCACCCCGGGAAAAGGATTGCTACCAAAGACTATAGCAACCGAAGACAACAACTATACCTTTCTCAAAGAATGGTGAGTCTCATTATATGTATTGTACGGAGTAACATACTAACATTAGACAAATTGTTTTTTTCCTAAATGAACTCTTTTGGTGGGACTGAGGGAGGTTTTCATTTCATGCGATGTTTTCTTTAATGTCTGCAGTTGGAGGACGAGGGAGGGTACAAACGAGAAAGAAAATCAAGAAAGAAAAAGGCATAACGTGATGGCCAATCTCACAATGTATAGACTATAGAATCTCGGCCCCGACCCACTTTTAAATTCTGTCATGGTATCAGAACAGGCACAACGAGTGAGCCTTTTGTGGTTAAATTTTCTTTGTAGAATATGTTTGGAGTTGTATATAGTTGCAAATGATACAATAGAAAAATGTTTAGGAACTCGTTCAAGGAACTATTTGAGTTTACAACTCTACCCCTATGGAGTTGCTGTTTATATAAGGGCACGTTGGTAAATTCCACCTCATCTCCTTTAGCAACGTGAGCTAAAAGCAAGAGTCGGGTATTAATGTTTATGAAGCGTGTAAATCGATGTGTATGCCAAAATGTCTTTTGTGAATGTATGTATTGATGTTTTGTTTTTCTCTTCATTTCCAAGCAACAATTCTAACAATAAGTATTGTTACAGACTTTCAGTTTTGATGAGTGGGAATTGCTAGTGGACATTGCAGTTTTGAAGGAGAGTCTGAAAACAGTATTAGGTAATGGTAAACTTTGATGGAATCGACAGAAATTGTGTGGCCTATGAAAGAAATGGAGTGGCAAACAATATAAGGATATAATATCAAGTTCTCAGTCAAACTAATCTTTTAAAACATGAAACTAATATGGAAAATTTGAGTTTTCCTCCATCCCCGATTAATTTGCATACTTGGTCAAATTAAATTAATTAAAATTTTAATTTCATTATGGATTTAAAAAATAAAGATACTGTCCCATTGTCCTGGTACGTGATCAAACTGTTTTATTTCCCTCCATATTTCATTTCTAATTTGATAAAATAAAATAATTAACACACCTTTTACTTTTGTAAAACTTGAAATCTAACAATTTAATAGAGTATATGTTCCCCATATTGTCCCAATTTAAATTATTTGTTCAATATTCACATGATCAAATGTTAACTATTTTTATTAGCCATTTTCAGCACTCAACTGTTAAAATAGCACTATTCACATGTCACTTCTTATTTTATAGAAGTTTAAATGTAATTTTTAAATGTATAAATTTTATTTTTCAATTCCATACAAATTTTATATAAACAAATTAAAAATATTTCAATCAACTATCATAGACCCCGAAACAGCAATTTAAGTTGGAACAACAGAAGTAATACTTTTTTTTATCTAACATCATTTTGTAAATAAATCAAATTTAACAATAAAATATTCTAAGACAGCAATGAAATCTTTTTTTAGTATGAGGGTGACAAACAATTTGCTCTTGAGAGACATCTAAAGCTAATCAAAAGCAACCTTCTAGAGTCTAAGGAGATGAAAGTGGAAATTTTATTTTGGTGGAGGTATGAGTCAGCTTGTCATATTACCTGGTAAAGCAAGACACTTAACATAGAACAACTATACATTCACTTGAAGTATATGAGTTCAAATTTAAAGTGGAGTATTAAACAGGAAGATGACAAAACATAAGCTTGGGTCTTGCTACATTAATTCAGAGAAACATTGGCATTTTAAGTTGAAAAAAGAAGCTCATACAACTTGAGACTTCAAACCATATTCTGTTTCATGAAAACTAAAACAGCAACCCCATGATCCTAGGCAATTTACTAAGCGTAATTGCAATAAGCTAAACTTCAAATGGTGGCACAAAGTAATCTTCATCAAGAAGTAAAATGTTGCTTGGAGGTTCCCCCAGTTTGATGAAGCATTGCATCAATCTCATCACCATCTTCCATCTCCAGCTGAAACATCAAAAAGAAGAATGACAAATCAGTATTGATGTGTGCTTGGGACGGGGGCAACGGAAGTGGATTGGAAAAATGACACAAGAAAAATACAGATTACTGAGCAGCTTTTGATGTTCGGTTTTAAAAATACAAAGAAAAATCAAATTTGATCAAAAGTCTGCATATACTTGTGTCTGTCTCTAGGTGAATAAAAAATAAAGAATAAAAAATATTTGTACAAACATCTAAAATTGTAATGTAAAGTTTGTAATCCTTCCCTCCCACTATTTTTGTCCTTTTAAATCGTCCCCACTATTTGTCACATACCGTATTTGATCATATTTGTGTACTTCATATTAGTTCTTACTTTATCTTACGTTATAACATTAACATCAACCACACAATGTTACTTTTCTTGGATTTCTGCGTCATTCCTCATGACGATTACTACGTTTCTATTTTCTGCCAAATTTTACAATCATTCTCCTTGCTATTTTCCATTGATGGCTAACACTAGCGCATGCAGAAAGGCAAAAAATTATGCAAATTAATCTGATAACACAATCATTCTCTTCACTGTGTGGTTCAATACATGCAAATAAATTACATATGAAGAGAAAGAGAGAGAGAGGTGGGGGGGGACCTCATCTGGAGTCTGCTCCTGCCTAAGTCGGCGCCCGTCAAACAGGAAAGCTATTGCATTCATGTCAACAGACTGTCGGTCACAGTATGCATTCATTAGCTTCTTCAGTTGAGTGCTTCTTTTTATCCTGAAGAAGACCTCATTGCCATCCTAAATTTTTAAAAAAAAATATCATTCAGTCCGCATTTCAGTTAAAGAACTACCCATCACTCCGGCATACTAGTATTTGGCTATACATGCAAGCATTTTCTATCTGCAATAATAGACAATCATAAAAAAGCACTAAATGATTCCTATTTATAAAAGTGATTTCAGCTAAGAAAAGGAATGCAAGTGCTCGCAGATGAGTTCCAAAGGATGATACTCCATCTGTCCCAAAAAAGTCTTGTTTGTAATACTGATTTTCGTATCACAAAACTGACTCTTTACATGAGGAGGTAGCATTCTTCTTCAGCTAAACAATAATCATGGGGACCATCATTGTTTGGGGGGTGGGGGTGGGGGGGAATAGAAAACAGAGAAAGATAGTATTCCACTATTCCTGCAAAAGAAGATTGTGTTTCAACCAATAATAAAATCCACAAACCAACTCTTCAATTTTTTGGTGAGCTGTGTAGTACATGACATTCCGTCATTCCCCCAGCACACAATCTAAGTAAAGCTTGGTTGCCCAAGGCGGTCATGCTTCATCGTTGTCATATTTCTCATGCATTTTGTCTTGCAAGATACAACCATCAAAATGAACCCAGAAAAACCAATAAGAATAAGGGATATTTTACATGGCATAGAATATGTACACAGCTAAAAACAAACCATAAAAAAGAAACCAGAAGCAGCAATACAAATGGAATGCAAGAAGCGTGTGTACTGATTCCCAGAAAATGTTTACTTACAGTCCTCCCTCCATCCCACACAAAGAGTCGTATATGTAAGACTGATTTCAGTATTACATCCAAGACTCTTTACATGAGAGAGTGGTAGTCTTCTCCAACTAAAAGAAAAGTATATTGCCTTTTGTGGTTAGGATTTAGACCCTAAGAAACAATTCATGATGGAAAAAATAAAGAAAACAACAAATTCAAATAGTCCTGCAAAAAAAGCATGTAATTCAAACAATCATAACATCCAAAACCCCTACCGTCAGTTATTCCTCTAGCTGTGCAGTAAGAGACTAGCAAATGACATTACAAAGACACACAGTCTACTAAGACCCTTAGTTTCCCAATGCTATAATATTTCACTCTAATCTGAGAAATATTCATACAATAAACCCATAAAAGCTCATCAGAATGAGGCAAACCTCAAACCCCAACTGACTAGCTACTTTCGATTGGGTTCACAATTTATAGAAAGCCAAATTCATGGAAATCAAACAATAGAGTCAAAATCATAGGACAGAAACTATCAAGCGTAGGCAGAAACTCAATCGCACCATAAATGACATACCACAGCCAGCACAACCCCTACTATACCCTTAGTTTCCCACTGATGTGATACTTCACTACAATGAATCGACAGAACTTATCTGAACGACCAAACCTTAAACCCTAACTGACTCAATACTTTCGATTGGGTTCAAAATTCGTAGACAGACACAAATTCAATAGTGAAAACCATACAGGCGCCACTAAGGCATATAAAACCATCACCGTACACAGAAACTCAATAAGGAAATCGCACCGTAATATGTACCATGAACAAACCCTCGATTAAGATGCATGCATAGAGGCAGACGAGAAAAAGCGAACCTGTCCTTTGACTTTAAGGTTGATGTGAGCCGCTTGATCGGCGGTGGGGGTAGGCTTCTTCTCTCCGTCCGGTCCCTGCGACATTCTCCCTTCTCAGTTCTCTACTCTCTTCCCTGTCTAGACAAACCCTTCGAAAGTGAGCTTTGGTGGATGGGTGCGGTATTTATACGTGTTACAGGTTTGCGTTGAAACAACGCTATATTTAAAGGATTCATTTTAATTATTTTTAAAAATAAAAGAAAAAAGTAGTGGTATTAGAAAATTGGAAATGAGTTTGAAGCCACAGATTTCAAACTTTCTCAGTTCTCACTGCTACATCAGTTTTAAATCCTCTTCAACTTATATTACTATTTCACTAGAGATGAGTTTGAAGTTTCGAGGCTTCAGACCTTTATTTTTTTACATTTTTAATGCACATTTTGTAAAATTAAATTGATAAGCTTTTATTAATTGATTGAATTTAAACGACAATAATTTATTAAATAAAAGAATTACATCCAATAAAAAATAATATTATATTTAAAAAAATTATATTAATTAAAAAACTTAGACAAATTATATTTAGCCTTGATATCGTTTTGTCTTCTCTCGTAATACATATGTCCGAAACTCGTTAACGTATCAAGTTCGATTTTCATTATTTCCAGCTCCTCTTTCTCTTGCCTTCATTTCTCTCTCTCTCTCTCTCTCTCTCTCTCTCTCTCTCTCTCTCCTTTCCTAATATTGAACACCCGAATTGTTCAACCATTGCACAACCGATATCATTGTGAGAAGAAACAAAGCCAGACTCTGCAGAATCCGAGGCAATGGATTTTGCATTCTTTCTTCCAATTGGTCGTGGAATGAGGTCCATGTCATTGGAGTCATCTAGGTTGAAGAGAGCTCTTTATCCCGACAAGCTGATAGTGTCATCGCCCTCAACCTCGGCGGAGGATCTTTTCTTTGACAATCCGGTCTCGGAGTTGTTGAGTTGCTCCCATTTTGGTAAACGGATTAAAGTTCTCCAAAGATCAACGTTAACTTTAACTTGGTGTTCGTCGTCTTGATACTAGGCGGTGGCTTGTCGCAAAACATCGATATTGTTCATCCCGCTCTTTCCGACCGAGAGCATTCCTTGTAAACTTAAATAAATTTTTGAATTTTTCTATTGATGTGGCGTCATTTGGACGTGAGTTGGTCTTGCGTTCAATAGGAAGCGTCCTTATTCATCGCTGCAAAGAACTTTTCTTGATACGATCCCATATCGCATCTATTGTTTGATCATAACCCTTAAGAAATACTTCCTCCGTCCCAAAAAGATATTTTCATTTTGATTTTTACAAAATCTAATGGAGGAATATTTTTGTGCTGATTTTCAAAAATACTCTTGATAGATGTTATGAGTAAAAAGTAAGATGTGATGTATAGATTCTTAGTAAAAAGTATGATATGATATATAAGTTTAGAGTGAGTAAAAATGGGGTTTTTAATAGAGATGTGAAAAATTTTATGGGACAAGTAAAAAATGGGAAGGAGTTTTTGGGATGGATGGAGTATATAACTGAACGAAATAAAAGTAACACAAATATAAAAAAACATATATACAATATATATTTTAAAACATACTCCGTATAAATTTCACAAACGATATGATACTCCGAGACGTCAACCCAAACAGACGTCAACAACGATTCTTCATCCGGTATCTACTTTTGAATGGATCGTGTTGTCGCAATCATCGGCTTGTCGATCTTTGGTTTGTGACTCTTCCGGCGTGCTCTTTTTTGTGTAATTGGTTCTGGTTGAGCCTCTAGAACTGACTACGGGACCTCCAGGTTCGGCAAGGTTTGCGTGTCGGATAATGTGAGACTATTTTCGTACGTTTGGTAAAGCCACATCGCGTATTCGTTTGGATCAAGACCGGACAGAGACACGGAGGAACCAAAAGATTCGCAATAAAAATAAGAGAAATACTTAAAGTTGAAGATTTTTTTTTAGAAATAAGAGAGAGATTTGTGGTTGTGTGTTTCATTTAAAAAAAAGAATGAATTTTTAGGGGGAGATTTTTTATTAATATGTAACGGCATTATAGTCGTTGGAAGGAGAAGGCTGCCCAATTCATTCATTAAATGTTTGACGCAAGAAGCATAACGCCCCGCTAAAGCCCCAAGGGGCGGTGTTTAACGCCCGGGGAGTTAAAATTAGAACCCCTCAGCGTTAGAACCATTTGATTTCTTGTGCCCTTAGACATGGACACGATACCTGTTCATTCCAATTCTGAAACTGCCGATTCTCGGTATTGTAAGGAGATACCACCACTGTCACCGGTGGTCGGCACTGAGATCATGGTCTGATATACCGGTGGTTCCCAACATCAATCGATAGACCACTAGTCAACGTCGGCGGCTAGCGCGACAAATGATTGTCTGTAGTGATAGTGTACAGTGTGGTATTGACAGGTGTGACAATATGATGAGTATGACAGTGTAATGATAACAGTTTTAACTCTTATTTTGTTCTTAAATATCTTATGATTTCTATTGTGGTATTTTCATACTTTTTTTACTTCTACGTAGGAAGTTCTTTTGTATAATTTACATAATTTTTCTTTCTTAGGAGTAGCAATACCACACAAATAATAGTCATTTTAAGTTTTCGTAAAACAAGTAGTAATATAAACACATTAATATAAAAACATGTTACTAAAATTTAAATTTTAAAATTTAAAATTTATAATTTAAATTTTGAAATTTAAAATTAAAAGTTTAAACTTTAAAATATAAAGCTTACTATTTAAAATTTAAATTTTAAATTTTAAATTTTATATTTTAAATATTAAATTTTAATTTATAAATTT